TGTGGTCATTTCTACTATTGAATCATTTGCTTAGATGGCAATTTTATACTCAGTCACATCCATTAGTTGCATATCATATCTCAGTCTCTGTTACTATTATTGTTGTGTCATGCTCATTGTTTGGGCTAATTGGCATGAGTTGTGAGGCCGAGAGACTTGAGAGATTGATGACTGAGTTGTGGCCTGAGAGCCGTGTTGTGAGTGAGATTGTGGATCGGGTTGCACACCGCAACAGGCCTTATGGCTATATGTGGATCGGATTGCTGGCCGGAACAGGCCTTATGGCTATATGTGGATCAGGTTGCATGCCGCAACAGGTCTTACGGCTATATGTGGATCGAGTTGCACGCTGCAATAGGCCTTATGGCTATTTGTGGTTTGGGCTGCACGCCGCAGCAGTTACCATACCATGCTAAGTGACTGAGTGTGACGAACGAAAACTGAGACAGTCAGATTGAGTACTCTAAGAGTGTGATAAAGATGTCATATTCCTCATATCAGTCACACTTGGCATATCTTATCTGTGTTGAGCTTAACAGTTAAATTTGAGATCATGTCTACATTTCCTGTACTGTGTACGAACATATAATGAGTTTTTTTGGAGATATTGTTGTCCTATTTCCTGTCATTTCTGCATTGTTAAACTCTGTATTTGTACTGTATTGGTTGAGCTCGTCACTACTTTTAGCCCGAAGGTTAGTTTTGTTACTTATTGAGTTGGTTGTACTCACACTACACTCTGCACCTCGAGTGCAAATGTAGGTATTTCCGGGCACGATAGTCGTTGATCTTGGAGTTTTTACCCATTTAGAGATTATTGAGGTAGCTGCTTTGGCATCCGCAGACCTTGACTCTCCTCCTCTATCTCTCAGTTTTATTTATATTGTTCTACCTTCTTAGACAATGTTTCAGACTATGTTATTGTTTAGATGCTCATGTACTCAATGACACCCGGATTTTGCGAAAAGTTGTCTTCGAGTCGTAGTTGTTCATTTCGGTTGTTTATGAGAGTTATTGTTGTTAAACTTGCTTCACTTATTTTATTATAAAATGCCTAGTTTTATTGTGATTGTCGGCTTGCCTAGTTCTGTGATAGGCGCCATCATAACGTGTTGAGTATTGGGTCGTGACAGTAGCAGGCATCACACCATGTTATGGTATGAATTCTTTCTACGACCACATGTGCTAGAATTTCCATCAACGTGGATCAAACATGTGTGCTAGGCATATTATCTTTCTTATCAAGGTGAACAGAGCCACACCTCTTAGAAGAAATAATCCTCCAAGTGATATAATAATCATATCACCTCAGGAGCCTCCGAATTAAATGGCACTAAAATCATATTACCTTAGGAGGTTTTCCTTGTGCCTTACCCGGGATAATCAAGGCAACAAGTAGCAAAACTCAAAGATATCATGAGTTTATACAATATCTAGTTGGAAATAAAAAATAAATAAATTATCATGTTAGTCAATAAGCATAACAAATATAAAATAACACAAGCTTGCATAAAATTAGAATTTATTAAAAACTATATTTCATTCACCAATTGCAAAATAACTCCCACTGACTAAAGCACATCAAAAGACTCTAAAATACTCATGTTTTTAGCATGTTCATTTAACACTACAAGCCTAAGACCTTTAGTCAAAGGATCACATGCTAATATGCTCAATAGATATATCACATTCTTTTACCATGTATCTAACTTTAAGAAACTTAAGGCTAACATGCTTAGAGCCTCTTGTTCTCTTATTATTCTTAGAGAAGAACACAACTGCATTGTTGTCACAGAAACTAGTCACCGGCTTAGATATAAAATCCACAATTTGCAATTTAGTAAGAAAATTCTTCATCGAGACATCATGTGAAGCAGTCTCAAAATAAGCAATAAACTCAGCTTCCATTGTGGATGTAGCAGTGATACTCTGTTTCTCACTTTTCCAAGAAACAACACCTCCAGCCAACATAAAAATATACCTAGAAGTTGATTTAGTGTCTTGACAACCTGCAAAATCAGAATCTGAATATACTAGCAGGTCCAGATCATCAACTTTTTTGTACACAAGTATGAAGTCTTTGGTGTGTTATAGATATCTCATCACTTTCTTTGCATCTACCCAATGTGCCCACCCAGGATTAGAAGAAAATCTTCCCAACCTGTTAACAGCAAATGCAATATCAGGCCTTGTACAAACTTGTATGTACATCAAACAACCAAAAACACTTGCATATGGCACATCTTTCATGGTTCTCATTTCAAGTTTTTTTTCCGGGCATTGATCTTTACTAAGTTTATCCCCTTTTACAACAGGTGCAACGCCAGGTCTATAGTCTTGCATATTGAAAGTTTTGAGAACACTCTCAATGTATGAACGCTATGATAAACCCAATAAACCACGTGACCTATCACTTTTAATTTCTATCCCGAGAACAAAAGAGGCATCACCAAGATCTTTCATATCAAAAGACCAAGACAAAAATAGCTTGGTCTCATTCATCAAGCCCAAATCGTTTGTGGCAAACAGAATGTCATCAACATAGAGAACCATAATAATAAAATTACCATTAGCTATTTTAAGATAAACACATTCATCAAGATTATTTTCCACAAATCCGATTTTGTAATAATTTCATTGAATTTCATGTACCACTGCCCGGAGGCTTGCTTAAGCCCATATATAGATTTATTAAGCTTGCACACAATATGTTCTTTACTAGCTTCTTTAAAACCCTTCAGGTTGAACCATGTAAACTTCTTCAAGCAGAATCTCATTCAGGAAAGCAGTTTTAACATCCATCTGGTGCAACTTTAGATCAAAATGAGCCACAAGAACCATCACAACTCTAAATGCATCCTTAGATGAAACAAGAGAAAAGGTTTCTTCATAATTAATACCTTCTTTCTGAGTGTAACCTTTAGTAACCAACCTTGCTTTATAACGGTCTATGTTCCTTTGGAGTCTCTTTTGGTTTTAAACACCCATTTGCAACCAATAGGCCTAAAACCTATAGGCAATACAATTAACTCCCACACTCTATTGTGTTCCGTGGAGCGCATTTTATCTTCCATTGCCTCGCGCCATTTATCAACATATTAAGAGGAAATAGCTTGAGCATATGATAAAGCATCAGTCAACTCTCCAGTATCACTAAGATTTTCAGTCACATATACGATAAAATCATCAGAGATTGCAGATCTTCTTTCTCTTTGTGACCTACAGAGTGGTTCATTGTGTTTATTTTGCTCAGGGACCATGGGATCTGTGTCATTTTTCCCTTGATTCTCCCCCACATGAATAGGTTGGTTTACCATCTTTTCATTTACAACAGGTACATGGACAATGACTTTCTTCTCTTTAAACAAAATTTTCTTCCCACATGAACAATCACAATCACAAACATAATGCTCAAGAAATTTTATATTAATAGACTCAACGATTCTAGTGCCACACCCAGGACAGAAAAATGTAAAACATATAGAGTGATCAGGATAGCCTATAAAGAAACAACTGGTAGTCTTAGGATCAGTTTTCTTTTCCGAGGGTGAATAAATATGAACTTCAGCTGGACATCCCCAAATGTGAAAATGGTTCAACGTAGGTTTTCTGGTTGTCCATAGTTCAAAGGGAGTTTTCAGGACAAAATTTGTAGGAACTCTATTCAGGATATAGGTATCTATTTCTAAGGCTTCATCCCAAAGAGACTTAGGCAGGATAGTCCTTGCCATCATACTTCTCACCATTTTCATGAGAGTACGATTTTGTCTCTCAACCACACCATTTTGCTCAGGAGTACCTGGCATGGTTTATTGTGCTATTATCCCACATTCTTATAGAAATAAAGCAAAAGGCCCCATACATTGACCAGACTCGTCATATTTTCCATAGTACTCACCACCAGGCCAGACTTCACTATCTTAATGGACTTCCCAAGCTGTTTTTCAACTTCAGTCTTCTAAATTTTAAACTTATGAAGTGCTTCAGACTTCTCTTTTAAAAGGTATATATAACAATATCTTGAAAAGTCATCAACAAAAGTAATGAAATACTTATGACTGGTCAAAGTAGATACATAAGGCCCACTAATATCAGTATGAATAATTTCTAAGAGTTTAGAGCTCCTGGTGGAACCCTTTCTCTTAATCTTGGTCATTTTATCCTTAACACAATCCACACAAGTTTTAAAATCTTTTGGATCAAGAATAGGTAAAATATTTTCCTTTACCCATCGTTTAATTCTTTTTTTGGAAATATGACCAAGATGTCTATGCCATAATAGGTAAGACGTTTTACTCATCAGACCTTTTTTTGTGGGCAATATTTTCAATATGCATTGCAGAAAAAATTCCATTCAACACATTCAATTGATATAGACCATCACTTAAAAATGCATCAGCAACAACATGTGAATCATAAGAAATTTTGATAATACCATTATTTTGTTGAAATTAATAACCAGTTTTGTCCAAAAGGGAAATCGAAACTAATTTCATCATAGACAGTACAAAAACAGTATTTTCTAAATGAATACTAGAATTATTTTTAAAAGGTAAAATAGATGTCCCTATAAACTCTACTTTTGCTTTGAGCCCATTGCCCACAACAACACTGGCTTCATCCTCTTTTGGCTTCCGTCTGCTTACCAGATCCTGCAAGTCATTGGTTACATGAACAGTTGCACCACTATCCAACCATCAGGAATTTAAAGGAACATGAACAAGACTAGTTTTAAAGCAGAAAAAAGCCAAAAGATTACCTGGTTTCTTTTTCAAAGGACAACTAGCTTTCTTATGACCTACTTGTTTACAATTCCAACACTTGATTTCTTTTTTAATTACAGCTTGAGGGCCAAGAGGATTATGAGACCGACCTTGGTTGGCACCAGGCTTATTAGTATGACCACTATTACCACCTGGATGATGAGACTAACCATGCTTCTTTCTATGGAATTTGGGTCTACCTTTTGTTTTATAAGAAGGATGATCATCTGATCTAGATTAACTAACAAGGTTCACTAAAACCTCAACTTTCTTCTTTTGGATCCTTTCTTCCTCTACCACACAAACAGTAATAAGCTCATCGGTAATGGTTACACCTAAATTATTGAGTTTGGTAGCAATGTTAATAAATTTTATAATATTATCACGGACGCTACCTAAAAGGTCATACTTTATGAAAGACAAGGAATCAATCAGGCTACATATCTCCGCTTTATCAAATTCTAGGAATTTCTGTCCAATGGCACTCAAAAAATCTTTTGCATTTCCATTATCCTTAATTGCACATTTTATGTGAGCAGGAATGGATCTCTTCATTATCATAAGGCTCAATTTGTTAGCCTTCATCCATTTCTCATACTTAGCATTTTCATTAGTAGTGCTAGTAGTTACAGGTTCAGCAGGTTTCTGTTCAGTCAATGCAAAGTCCACCTCCATCAGACCTAACACTATTTCAATATCTTGTTTCCACTTCTTGTAGTTGCTACTAGTCAGGGTTTCAATGGAATTCAACTGAGTAATCTTGTTGTTAACAGCTGTATTAGTAAATAACGTAAAAGTTAGAGAAAATCATGGGTATAAACACATAAATCAAAAGAGTCAAAGACATCTATTGCACCCTTCCTTTGGGTGGAAGATGCATCTGTCTCCCCGTTAAGGACCAAGGAGTCCAAGGCATTCATTATAATTTATATCCTCACCTTTAGGTAAGAGATACAAAACCCCCTCCCAATATCATCCAAGAGTACAAAACTTACATTGCATATTTCCTTTAGGTAAGAGTCACAAAACCTTTTCTATAACAAACTATCCTCTTTTATACACGTATAAATTAAAGATATTATGTTCTTCCTTTAAGTGGAAAATACAATATCTACTCTCATTAATTAACTTAGCGTCACTACTATCAAAAGGAAAACCTCAACAATAGTGTACACTTATAAAGGACAATTTAGACATAGTGCATTAAGAATAGTTCAATGACTCAAACAAAGAGACCACTTTGGTGGAAACTTTCTATTAATCATAACTCTCAATCCATGTATTAAATGATCTCACGTGTATATAATATTAAGAACTTTTTAGTAACTCCAAATAATAGACCACTTTGATAACACTATTTATTAATCACAGTTTCTTAGTTATACTTGTTAGTGCATGTGATAAATAGCACCCATATAATTTAAACCTTTCAATTTATTTCTTATATTAATTTTGAATCCATTCTCTGACTATAAGCAACATCATCAAATAGAATCCTTGATACAACAATTATGTTCGGCACGAAATAGAACAGGTCTTTATAAGAAAACTTGATCACAAATAATATACTATCAAACTGACAAACCGTTGCAGCGGTCCATGTCATCTTAACTACAAATCTCAACTTCTCATAAAAAGAAATTCATAATAAAGCTCATATTACCCAATTTCTAAAGATATTAAAAGAAAACCAAATAAGAGAATCTTTCTATTCCAAAATTACGCAACAATCAGAACAAAAGTTTTAATAACGAAAGATCTTTGACCACTGTTTCCACCATTCCATCGGCAAGTATCAAATCTTATATCCGTTTTCTTTTGGTTGATAAATTGTTACTTAAAATATGGGTTAAAACCCATTCCGTAGAAACAATATACACGATTGCAACCGTCGACCAGAAGTCTGTCGAAAATAGCCGCACAGTGAAACGATTTTCATTGTATTGTATCGCTATCCGAAAAATTGATAGAAGAATATAACGTATTCTAGAACTCAAGATTAATTCTTTGATCTTAATCCCTAACTATGGCGGCTTTGATACCAACTGTTAGATTATTAATTTGCAGCCATAGCAGAGATTAAGACACAATCATACAGATATAAAATCATAATCTTGAGTTAGAGTCTAAGGAAATGTACCGTTAAACTTCATGGATTCAGCAGCGACAGCAAACGACGATTAAGCCTGAGACCAACTTCCACGATCCACTAGCTACGAACGCGCTCTCACAGTCTGGAGAACTTGACTGATGGGATGTCTACCTGACTGATGGGATTCTACCGTGACTACGTATTCAAGAGTCAGAATACCCTTGGATTTTCTGATAGAAAGGGTGTTGGCCTGTATTTATAAAGAGTGTCTACCCATCACAGACCAATTGTTATAGGGCCTCATTTATCCACACACACAATATTTAATATTAGGCATTTTATTTATCCATCACTTGGGCTACATCACTATCTTTCGGGCTATAACCAATTAACGTAAGTCCAAATTCCAACACAAATGTAAAACAAGCCGAATATTTAACCAAATGGAAAAAGGATTCATTAAAGAATAAGAAGACAATCGATACTTTTTTTTTTTTTTTGTACTCTTATCAACTTTTTATTCAATACTCTACACATATGGTTTTCAATAAAATGCTGGATGGAATAATTTGTATCAGAATCTTAAGCATCATCATCTTCCTCCTCTTCTTCTTCTTCCTCGCCGTCGTCATCTTTGTCAATAGCCAAATATGGATTTTTCTCAATAGGTTGAAAATTGTAGAATATAAACAAATAAAACATCAAGCTTGCACCTTCTGCAGCAACAATTGTAACCCATTCATGTATGTAATTCACTACACTTTGAATCATAGCAATCCCAAACCTAGTAAAATACAAGTACACAATCAAGACAACATAAAAGTGCCTAAAAAGTGTCAACTTCCTCAGAATTTCAGCTGCTTTTCCATCATTCTTAGATGCCTCTCTAAGGCTTTTAATTGACCATAAAATTGGAACAAGTACAATACAACAACACATTACATCTATTAACAAGAACACCTCATTCCATACTAACCAATGTTTCTCAACAGGTCCACTTTCACTTATCACGATCGATGCAATATTTTCGATTACTTGTAAGGGGATCACGAACATTAGAACCTTTTTTTCGCGGTCATGTAGGAAAGGTTTCAAGAAAGACCAACCAGTTCCAATAAGGACAATAACAGTAAAGAGTGTTACGCCTTTCAAAAATCCAAAAATATAAAATGCGACATCCCAACCATGAGGCTTCCCTGTATTTCTAATGTACATTTTATCTTCTGAAGCACAAATCAACTTCAATGCCTTGAAAACCAACAACATAGCCATTATCAAATGAATCTTGTGAACAATTTTCCTCTGTTTAATGCAGATAAATCCCCATATGGCTAAAAATACAAGATATACAATGAAGCAAAGGAAATAGAATTTAGGGAGTGGAGTTTGACCAGCTGGAAGAAAATCTTTTTCCCCATTATTCATATTGTACATTTCAGTATGAACATTCATTGTGACAAGAAATTCTTTTTGGCAATTACCAAAAATCAAGTTATATTCATCAGGCTCGTCGATTGTGGTTGATGTATTGTAGGTTGAATCAGGGCCAAGCTTGTCAAATCTAAAGACAAGATTTACATACTTACTGGATAAAACACACAAGTTATCTGTGTACATGGACTCGTTCAAGAGTCGTGGGAACGATACATCTCTAACGAGACAAAATCCCATAGAAGAAGGATAAAGTTTTGCAGCTGGTTCATTTGATCTCCATGAAACATGGTCTAGAGAAATGGTTACATGCCCATCAGGGGCAAAACCAAATCTTTCAATCAATATTATTTGTCTAGAATCATCAACAATATGTGTATTCTTCATTTCACCTACTGAAAACCTAAAGCTTGATATTATGAACAATGCTTGTAGTAGCTTTAAACATCTAAGATGGTGGAAATTTTCCATGTGATTTTTATATGGATATTGTATAAGTTAGAACAAAATTAGCTTGTTAGGACTAAGATATTGAGTGCATAGTAGAGGGTATTTGCGTATGATCTATTAGATGCACAATTCTTACTCGGACTAATGACATTTGCTACTGTCTTTTAGCAAAATTTTCAGCACTACCACAAATGAAGTTTGTAGAGAATTTCAACTTTAATAGATCCTAATCAATAGGGCCTAATCAATTCGACTAGGTAGTTGGAAGGAATTTTCAAAATAAGAAGTATTACTCCATTTTAACTTAAAAGAGTTAATTTCACTTGACCTCCTTAACCTTTCGACTTCGGAGATATTAATATTTGAGTACAATTGAAATTGGATGGAACCTGAGAAAAATAGAGCTGTCAATATGGGCGAGGCCGGGCTAGGCCAGCCCAGCCCACGTGGGCTTTAGCCATTGACGGGCTGGGCTGGGCTAGCTCACCATTTTGATGGGCCTTATAATGGTCAGCCCAGCCTATGTGAGATGCGGGCCCCCACGGGCCGGCCCATCATTTTTTTTAAATATAATTTGTTATTTTATTTAAGTTCTAACCTAAAAAAGATAAATATTTAAAAGTTAAAAAAATCTTATTGGAAAAATTTCACAAAACTTAATAACTTTTTATATTGTTCCAATATATGATAAACACTAAAAAAGTAAAAGACTAGACTAATATTTCATTCACTAAAAGTCAAAACTCAAAACAAACTATTCAAGAGAACGTCCATGATGCTTACGGGATATCCAACACATCATCTTCATCAAACACATTTGAATCCTCTTGTGAGAAGGTTGTCTTAATATCTTCACTTTCATCTACATCTACAATTCGTATGCAATATTAATTAGTTATATATTAAGTATAATTAAATTTTTAAAACTAATTAACGTCATAAGACTTTGATCTTTTAATATGATGAGTTTAATAAACTTTAATCTTGATATTTTTTGTGTCGTATAATTTTTATATTTTATATATTTCAAATACATATTTTTATTAGGCCCACGGGCCGGCCCGGCCCAGCCTTAGTCAAGCCTCAGGGGCCACGGGCTTACTCGGGCGGGGCTTAAAAGCCTCGTTTTTAAATGGGCTCCAAAAATTCTAGCCCAGCCCTATTAAATTACGGGCGGGGCAGGGCTTGCCCAACGAGCCAAGCCCATAGTGACGGCTCTAGAGAGAAATAAACAAAACATAAATTATGAGATAACCACCTCTGAGAGGTGGTGGAAAGCTCACCACTACTGTTGTCAGGAATCACGGAGACTCAAGCACAGGGTATTCATCGATCGTTTGGATCCCATTTTACCTCCTTTTTATGTTCTTTATTGAAATATTGAATAAGTCCAACTTTACACAGTTTTTAATGTGTTGTGATGTTTTGTGAAAATCTATTTGGACTTAGTTGTAATGTTGCCAAAATATATACTAAACATAATGACAAATCCAAAACAAATATTAAATGAAAATTGTCTATATGAAGATTATTTCTTAAGGAAACAAGACGGTTAACTAGATAACATTTTAAGAAGAGATGGCAAATGAAACTTAGGAAGCGTATGTAATCTTTCGAGAGTAAACTTTATGGGTGGTCATTCAACTTTGTGTTCATTACCTAAAAGTTATTTTTCTTTTTTTTGTTAAGTAAAAGTCATTCAGATTTGTGTTCGTTACCCAAAAGTCATTTTTCTTTTATTACACAAAAATTATTTTACTATGCTCTAGTTATCACAATAATCACTTTGACTAGTTTTTACAAACTTTTTGCCTGAAAAGTCTATTATTCCCTTGACATTATAAATCCTCCTATTTATGTAATATACTCGTACATTTAAATTTTTTTATTATTAAATTTTAAGATACATAAGTAGTATTGTTAAATTTGTCAGTAACATTACCGTGAACAAATCTCAAGTTCACGTTCTTAATCATGCTTAATGAAATATATTTAATGAAAATCAAAAAATCAAATCTCATTGATTTATCAGTCAAAGCATACCCATTAATTA